CTATATATATAATATACTTCTATATATGATATTCTATCACTCGCTCCCATATAACATATTAATTTAGTAAATTTCTACTATACTCATATCACCCGTCAGTTAATATAGATCGCTTATATATATCGACCCCTCCAGATCACGCCAGTACTCATGCTACACATATTATATACCCTGGTCCTTACCGCCAAATAAGTGCGCAGAGGACTATAGTTTGATCAATCATGTTATCTATATATAACTCAACAATTAAACTCGAAGCACGCGTATACGAAAGTTATCAAACGACGTAAGGAACTCGCGGTGAGTTATTAGGGTGGGGCTCGTCGGGTGGGGCGGCGGGAGGGCTCCGGGTTCGGGTGTGTGGTGTGTTGTTCGGCCTGCGGCGTCGTGTGGTGTGCTGAGATCGGTGGATAGTGAGGCTCTCGGCGTGTCGACTGGTGAGTGATGGTGTGTGGGTGGTTGTGATGTAGTGGTCGTGGCAGCTGTACAGTAAGGGTGTTCGTAGCTGTTGTGTTGCGTAGTGTAGGATTAGCGGTCTTGTGTGTGTGTGTAAGTGTGTGTGTATTACGAACATACCAATCTATGCTTATATATATATTATATAGCGGTTTTACTCATTATATCGTACTACACTCTCCTCTCTATCTCACCCAACTCACCACCACTAATTTTATTCTATACTAGGTTCTGCTCTTCCTATACTATCTTTCCTCTCCTCTCCTCTCCTCTCTCTACTTACTCAATATATCTTTTTGGGGATATTAACATAGCTGTATGTAGAAAATCCATGTACACTCCATAATGCATACAGTACCATGAAATAGTAGGAATTTATGAATAGAAACTATCAGATCTTAAATGGCATATAATAACAATATTAAATATATACTACCTATTATCTCTAGTGGATCTATATATATTTATGTGTGTGTGCACGAGGTATCTCTTATTTTATCTTGTATAGATGATAGATGTAGACTATGAACACCCCATCAAAAAACTTCGCATGCCTCCACACACATACAAATATAGATATCCGTCCCCAACAATCTTCCTCCTCTCGCTCGCCCTCTCCTCGCCGCACTAGCCATCATGCTCTCTACTGCCCATTCATATATATGGTTTATACGACAAATTATTAATGTGTCCACCTTCGTCACACCTATTATCAATTAGTCTATTTTCTATACTAAAGGGTACTCATATCCAAAGCTCTAACTGCGCATCATTATAAAGTGTACGGCCCAAGTACCATAACAATATAAGGTAATACGGCGAAGGAGGAAGTGGAGTGACCGGGGAACCTATCGTCGGAGCACGTATATATAGTTGATGACTAGCGAGCCTGTACTATAAATTATAGGGTGACAGAAAACGAGGATATGAGATAGGCGGAGATAGTGAAGGGTTAAGGGATAGGGAGGGTGAAGGGGGTAGTGAAATTAGTAGAGGAGAAGTAGGGTATGAGAAGCTAAGAGTCAAGATAAGGAAGAGGCGTGTAGGAAGAATAGGAGAGCGAGGGGGTAGATAAATAGAAGTAGGAGGAGATTAGAAGAGTATATATAATATACTATAATATAATTATTTTAACACGCAGGGCAGGAGGAGGAAAGCGAAGAGAGAAGTACCAGATTAAGCGATGAGAAGTGATAGAATGGAAGAGGTGGACGAGGAGGTGATGAAGGAGGAGTGGGCGAGGGGATGGGAGAGGTAGGTGAGTGATTGGTGGTAGGCGAGGAGGAGAGGAAAGGAGATGGTGGACGCGTGAGAGAGAAAGAGGAAGTGGTCGAGAGAAGTGAGGATCATGAGGGTGGAGCGACGTAGAGGAGGTGACAGAGGTAGTAGGTGGGGAAGAAATGGATAGGAGGGTGTGAGTAATAAACTATAATAGATTTGCTATTCACTATTACCTCATTTATATCTAATGAGACAAAATGTCGTAGCGGAGGGATAAAATCTCAAAGACGATAAAAAAAATAATGAAGAAGTGCGCGCGCGACTTATATCAGCGTCCGTAAGGTGGTTAGTTGGGTGGGTAGTATTACAGGAGCCATTGCCTAAGTAGCTGAGAAGTGTATAGGACGTGACAGGAAGCGAAGGGCGGCGAGAAGTGTGTCATCAACGCTAAGCAGGAAAGGAGGGAATAATAACATACAACAACAAATTCAGTTTTTTCTCTAACACAGTAAAGAAATTCGATTACACTGGCCAAGCGTTAGAGTTCAATAACAACTGCCTAGGCATCAGCTGATGTGACCAACATTGACACAGTACCGACGCTAGTGGATCAGCCACTTGGAGAGCCCAGTGCTCCGCCGTATCGGGTTTTACGGAGCGTTATTTCCCTATTGTCAGGCCTCCACCTCCCTCCTACGGCCTGCACGGCCAATAAGGTCTGGCCGCTGCATTATACTTATGTAGTCTTCGCTCTACTCGCGTAGCCGTGATAGCAAACGAAGGCAGTCACTGCGGTCGTGTCGTTGCGCGTGCCGTATGTGCGTAGAGAGGCTGTACACCGGGAAAAATATGAATCATCGTATTCTCCCTAGCAATCATTGCAGAGGCGATCACTAAGATGTAAGCGAGCTGCCGCCCGGCGGCTATTCCGCTGGGCGCATTAGTGGGGCTTCGTCGAAGTGGACTCTAGCTTGGGAACCTACAAAACCGCGAGATAATACAATGAAGATACACATACAATACTTGCGTATAGACACGTATATCTGATTCGATAATTAGAGCGTTATGACCATTGATGACGCAAAATGACCTTTAGTATATATATAATATGTAATTAATATTAGATGTATGCCTATCGTCTACGAGGAGAATTAGGTAAATGCTTATCGAGGCGTGTGAATGTTTCGCGACTAGGTACACTAGTGTGATGACCACGGGTATGTATATATGGTCAGGTTGAGTTTGTAGTGATGTGTAGGGTGTGATGTAGTTTAAGGTAAGAGTGGTTGGTGTATGGATGGTGGTTATTATTATAGGTAGGTAGGAGGTGGTTGTTGTGGTGGAGGTGGTTTGTGTGATGGTGGTTATAGCGAGGTGGTTGTGTGGTGTATGGTGGTGGAGGATTAGGTATATTATGTGTTAGATATGGTGGTGGTATATAGGTGGTGGAGGTGGTTATGTGTGATGGTTAGGTTATGAGTGGTGGAGGTGGTTGTGTAGTATGAGTGGTATATAATAGGTGGTGGAAGGTGTTTAGTGTGGTTGAGAGGTTATGGATTGTTATGTAGGTGGTTGGTGGTAGTGGTGGAGGTGAGTTTGTAGTGTGGTGGGTTGGTGGTTAGGGGTGGGTTGTGTGATGGTGGTTGGTGGTGGAGGTGGTTCTGTGATGTGGTGTAGTGGGGTGTCGGAGGTGGTTGTGATGATGGTAGGTGGTGGTATTGGGATGAGTTGGTTGTGTGGATGGTGGTGGGGGTGGATAGGTGGTTGTAGTGATGGTGGTGGTGGTGGAGGTGTTTGTGTGATGGTGGTGGTGGTGGAAGTGGGTGGTTGTGTGTGTGGTGGTGGTGGTGGTGATGGTGGTGGTGAAGGTGGTTGTGTGATGGTGGTGGTGGAGGTGGTGTTGTGTGGTGGAGAGTGGTTGTGTGATGGTGGTGAGGTGGTTGTGTGGTTGTGTGATGGTGGTGGTTGGTGGAGGTGGTTGTGTGAGTGGTGGTGGGTGGTGGAGGTGGTTGTGTGAAGGGTGGTGGTGGTGGTGGTGGTTGTGTGGTTGTGGGTGGTTGTGGATGGTGGTGAGTTGGTGTGATGGTTGGTATGTGTGGTAGGTGGTGGTGATGTGGTGGTGGTGGTGGTGGTGGTGGTGGTGTGGTGTGGAAGGTGTGTTGTGTGATGGTGGAGGTGGTTGTGTGATGGTGGTGTGGTGTGGAGTTGTTGGTTTGTGGTTGGTGGTGGAGGTGGTTGTGTGATGGTGGTGGTGGTGGAGGTGGTGTGTGTGGTGGTGGTGGTGGTGGTGTGTGGTGGTGGTGGTTGTGGTTTGTGTGATGGTGGTGGTGGTTGTGTGATGGTGGTGGTGTGTGGTGGTGGTGGAGGTGGTTGTGGGATGGTGGTGGTGGTGGAGGTGGTTGTGTGATGGTGGTGGTGTGGTGGTGGAGGTGGTTGTGGTGATGGTGGTGGTGGTGGAGGTGGTTGTGTGATGGTGGTGGTGGTGGAGGTGGTTGTGGTGATGGTGGTGGTGGTGGTGGTTGTTGTTGGTGTGTGGTGGTGGTGGGTGGAGGTGGTTTGTGTGATGGTGGTGTGGTGGGGTGGTGGGTGGTTGTGTGATGGTGGTGTGGGTGGAGGTGGTTGTGTGATGGTGGGGTGTGGTGGAAGGTGGTTGTGTGATGGTGGTAGGTTGGTGGTGTGTGGGATGGTGGTTGTGTGATGGTGGTGATGGTGGTTGGTGATGGTGGTGGAGGTGGTTGGTTGTGATGGTGGTGGTGGTGGTTGGTGTGGTTGGTGGAGGATGGTTGGTGTGGTGGTGAGGTTGTGAGGTCGGTTGGGTGATGGTGGTGGTGGTGGAGGTGGTTTGTGTGATGGTGGTTGAGGTGGTGGGGGGAGGTGGTTGTGTGAATGGTGGTGGTGGAGGGTGGTTATTGTAGGTCGATTGGCGTTTGGTGGTGGTGGAGGTGGTTGTGGGTTATGTGTGGGCTCGGTGGTTTGGAGGGGTTGCTGTTGATGGTGCTAGGGTGAGTGGGGTGGAGGTTGTTGTGTGACATGGGTGGTGGTGGTGGAGGTGGTTTGTTATTGTGGTGATGGTGGTAGCGTTCGGTGGAGGGCGGGGCGCATAGGTTTGTGTTGAGTGGTGAGAGGTGTGTCTTGGGCTGGAGTGTGGCGTTTGTGTTGAATGGGGTAAGGTGGGTGGACGGTGGCTGTGTGTGTGTACTTCGGTGGGGTCAGGTGGTGGAATGGTGGTTAGTGATGATGGTATGGGGGTGGAGGTGGTTGTGGTGATGGTGCGGATGGAGGTTTGTAGTCTTGAGTGGTCGGCGTAGGGGGACGGGTCAGGACTAGTGAGTTGTGTGATGGTGGTGGTGGTGGAGGACTGGTATACGTGTGAATGCGTCGGTGGTGGTGGCGTGGTTGTGGTCGATGGTGGTGTCGTTTGTGGCTATGGGCGCTGGTTGATGCTGAAGTGGTTGGGGTAAAGGCTGGTGAGGTGGTTGTGTCGAATTGGGGATCGGCCTAGGATGTTTTTCAGATGCATTGGGAGAGGTGGTTGTAATGGTGATGGTGGTGGTGGTGGAGGTGGTTGTTGTGACTAGGTGGGTGGTGGTCGGAAGGTGGGATTGGTGGTAGGAGGTGAGATCTGTTGGTGATGGGTCGCTGTGGTTGTCGGAGTGGTTGTCGTGATGGTCGGTGGTGGTTGGAGGTGGTTGTGTGATGGTGGTGGTGGTGGAGGTGGTTGTGTGTGTGGGGTCGGTGGAGGTGGTTGTGTGATGGTGGGGTGAGGTGCGTTGCTTGTGATGGTGGATGGGGTCGCGTTGGTTTGTGATGGGCCTCGGTCGGGGTGCAACGTGCTGGAGGTGGTTGTGTGAGTGGGAGGTCGGGTGGTGAGATGGTGGCTTGTGTCGATTGGTCAGGGTGGTGGTGGAGGTGGTTGATTGTGCAAATGGATGGTTGAGATGGTAGCTGGACTCGCCGGTTGCGTAATGTGTGTGGTGGTTTGGTGGTGGAAGGTGGTTGTTCAGTGAACTCGTTTCGAAGTGTGGTGGTGGAGCGGTGGTTGTGTGATGGTGGTGGTTTTGTGTTCTTGTGTCACGGTTGCTTGTGTGATGGTGGTGGTCATCGGGTCGGTAGGTGCGCTTGTGGATGCGTGAGTCGCGTCGTCGCTGGAGCTCGCTGCGTGTGTGATGGGGTTGCGCGGAGGGCTGTGTTCCCTCGCTATGATGTGGATGGTGGTGCCGGTGGTTGGAGGTGGTTGTGTGATGGTGGTGGGTCGCTGGTCTTTCAGCAGGAGGTGGTTGTGTGATGGTGGTGGTGGAGGTGGATTTGGGTGTGATGGTGGAGGCTGGTTGTGTGATGGTGGGTGGTGGAGGTGGTTGTGTGATGGTGTGGTGGTGGAGGTGGTGGTGTGATGGTGGTGGAGGTTGTGGTGGTGGTGTTTGGAGGTGGAGGTTCGTGTGGTGGTGTGGTGGCGAGGCCTGGAGGTTGGGATTCTGCGTTGCGGAGTACCGGAGGTTGAGGTTGTGTGTGGCCGGTGGAGGTGGTTGTGTGATCGGTGGTGGTGGATGTGACTGGTCTGTGGTGATGGTGTTGGATGGACTGCGACGGTGTGGTCGCTCTGATGGGTTGGTCGTTGGAGGTTCGCTCCTCGGGTTGGTTCTCGTTCTCGGAGGTCGGAGGTCGGCTTTGTGTGGTGGGTCGGCTGGAGGCTGGAGGTTGTCGTGGATGGTGGTCGGGGTGGAGGTTGTGTGTGGTGGTGGTCGGAGGCTTGGTTTGTGTGATGGTGGTGGAGTGGTTGTGTCGAGCGTGGTCCAGAGGTCGGAGTGGTGGTGGTAGGAAAAGGGGCCCACTGGGGAAGGGAGGAAAGAAGCACAGCGTATTCGAGAGGTGAAATAAAGGGGCCATGACGGAAGGGAGGGGAAGGAGACTTCCATCGCGAGAAATAGCTAACTGGGCATGGCGCAAGAGACTTCCGAAAAGGAAAGCTAGGACTATCCGAGGAAGAAACGCAAACGGTTATAGTTGTTAAACAGCATAAAGGGAGGGCTAGGAGAAGAGGAGGAGGTGTCACTGAAGTTCAATACAAGACGGAAATGGTTCAGAAACGAGGCCGAGAGGGACGATGGGCAATAGCGGAGAGGCTCAGATCGTGTAGTGTATGGGATTACCTGGATTAGGACGAACCGCTTAAGAGGGAACGGGGGAGAGAAGAAAGGGAAGAGAGAATGGAATTGGAGAAGGGGGCGGGCACAGAAAGGAAGGAGGAGGCTAGGAGGGTCGCAACGAGACCGAATCAAGCCTGTTTTCTATAACTGTATACTAAACGTCCTGGCAGAGGCTTGTGTCTGTGTCCAAGGCGCGTGCAATATCTCCGCAACAGATTTCAACAATAATTCAGATGGCAAGGAAGTCATGGGGTCAACACCAGCGCGTTTCGCTGCCATGGCGATGAATAAAGGCAATCTTGTGGCTATGAGTTTAGGCCGTTGTCACAACAGAGATCAAGTAACTATTAGGGTTTGGAGGGATGGGAAAAGCTTTTGCCCTTAAAAACAACCGTCTTTCGATATACTGATTCTTAGCCGAGCGACAAGAGAATCGGAGGATTGGAGCAATAGAGTATGGGTATAAAACGGTCCTCAGAAACCATTTTTTAAAGCTTTGAAACTATCAGGTGGGATATAGGTGGGACATCAGATACTGTGGGGAGACTTCTTTCCTCATCATCTGTCCCTCATTCATTTCCGGCAAGTATCCAGCAGGTTCAGTGTTGCCATAAAGGTACGAAGGAAGGTCGCCAGGGATTAGCTGCTAATGGCAACTGCGCCATAAAAACACCGACGCACCGACCGTCCGAGCCGCTCGCCTGACCGGATTCCCAAGTCGGCTGGAAACGTCGCTCTCGCTAATGATCTTGCACGAAATACAGCATCGCCCAATCACACTCGTCACCCAGGCAAGCACGCATACTATCCAATTCCCGCGGCAAGCAGGCAAAAGCAGCAATATCCGAAGGGTCGCAGACTCCGGCACATCAGGAAGCAAGGGTCATGCCCTCGCCCGAACCTCGAGCGGACCCTTCTGTTGCCGATACAGACAAAGGAGTGCCATGAGTCACCGCCTAATGAATGTCCACCCGGCGCTGGCATAACATATTTCCTGACGCCCACTCGCCCTCGCTGCCACACAACTCATTCTTTGCTTGTTTTGGAAAGCCTCATCGCCTCCAAACAAAACCGGTGCCTACGTGTCCTTGGCCTTCTCCCCGTCCTCGCTAAAGGATTCTCTTGATCCTTCTCTCGCTTATTCGCCTCGACACGACAGCCTCGGCGAATCCCGGAAGGATCCGCCGCCTCCCCTTGCGCTCGTCAGCGGCGTCATTTGTCACACTCGCAGACTCGGGCGGGATGGAGGTCACACGGGTGGCGTGACTGAGCGGATTGGGCCACCGTCGGCATGCCACTGGGAACACAAACTATGGGAGCGCAAATAAATGTGCATGATTACAAGTGAACCAGGAAGGCAAGCTGCCTCTTGAGAGACGAGCAACACCTGAATTCGATGCACGGCAAACCGAAGCTTAGTCGCAGCCGTCGCTTATTGATCCCGCCGTCACAGGTATCAAGTATCCCGCCTCACTCGTGCCCCCGCTGGCTGGCCCACTTCACACCAGGAGCAAAGCATTCGCGATGCCCGAGCACGGGACCTCCAACCGCCATTGTCACGCAGGCTCATCGTTTCTAGCGGGCTCATCTCCCAGCGCACTCGCTCGCTAACCTTGAGCATCTTATGAGGTTGACCTTGACGAGGCAGAGGCACCCAACCCATTCGCCCTCCCACTCTGACGGCCCACCGACGAACCCTTCTGGGATCAGCGAACCCGACGCGCGAGGGGCGCTGAACTCGGCGCGAAGGTCGCTCTATTTGGTGTTAATTCCGGACTCCTGCTCCGACCTCGAAAGCACCAAACGCGGCGCTGGCGTCAGCTGTCTCTCAGCCAATGCCTCCCACAGATGCATCCTTCACTCATGTGGAGGAAGACATGTACCATTATGTAACTGAATCAACATGTAACGAGAACTCAACACAAAACTTTGTTCACATTGCGAAGGAATTCAGCCGTTAACGATCCTTGGCCTTAATAATGAGTTCCCTGCGTCCTCTCAGCAAGCCCTCGGCAGCCCCCCCCCTGTAAACAAAGGCAAGGGACACTCGAAGGCGCGGTCCGAGCCAGAGAGCCGCAGCCGCAACAGGAGCGATGAACTCCCGTGCCACCGCACGCCACGGGCTTGCGAGGCACCGTTGCTTCAGTTCACATCCTGCACGGGATCACCAGCCATTGTCCTCGGGGACGGACAACGCCATGACGCGTTGAGATATACCAGGGTGCCCACTACTTTCCTGTTTATTTTGTCAACGTGTTGTTCAAATGTCATGAATTTGTCTAAGTGTAATCCTAGATTATTCACTGGTGTTCAGTTTGATAGAGCGGCCTTCATATGATATGATGGAGAGGAGACGAGACGAGACGGAATGGAAGCTGACACGGCCGTTTGAGTGCCTGACGAAGTGTGACTCCCGCACGGCGACGCCCTTTCTGTTACAGGCGACGCGTGCTGAACCCTACACTTACCATGGCCGCCCCCTCCGGCTCACGCCTTATCGGCCACACAAAGTACGGGGAGGAGGTCGGGGGAGTGGCAGATGGGGAGGGCATGGGAGACCAGGAAGGGGAAGGAGGGGAAGGAGAGGAAAATGGAAGGGGGGGGAAGAGAGGGAAATGGAAGGGGAAGGGGGGAGAGGGAAATGGAAGGGGAAGGGGGAGGAGAGGGAGAGGGAGAGGGAGGGAGGGGAGGGAGGGGAGGAGAGGGGAGGGGAGAGAGGGAGGGAGGGGAGGGAGGGGGGGGAAGAGGGAGAATGAGAGAGCAATGATTACGAAGGCACAAACAGCTGGGTAACAGGAAGCCAAACTGCCAATGCTGCTCATAATGATCGTTTTATCTGAGATCACGTTCAATACAAATCAGTGATTCGCATTGGTGACATCTTGCTAACTGTACGGAACGGTGAATCAAATAATGAAGAGGAAAAAGATAGTGAGCGCCAGTCAACGTTGAGAATTCTCTGCACCGAACACGTCCCCGGCATGTGATCATCGGAATCACTGCACTATCCCCTCGCCGTCTGTCCGCAGCGTGCCAATTCGCTGTAACTCGCGTCCCGCCCCAGCCAATCACACGCAATTCTCCCTCCCAGGACGCCCATCCAGGACCCGCCCACGCCGAGGTCCTCTACACGGAGGGTCAACGTCGAAGGAAAGGATTGCTCTCCGTTGCAAGAAGATCGGAGCCTGCCTCGCCACCGCCGCCGCTGCGATATCAATGCCGCGGACCTCGCGTCCGAATTCATGGGCTTCATTGGGAGTATCGATAAATTTGGGGCGAATGGCGCTGCGAGGAGGAGGGTTTCCTGAAAGAAGTTCGCTTAAATATTGCGCTGCTTGGGAGACGCTTCGGGGAGGGAGAAGAAAGGGAGAACATCGATAACACACACATACTGTACAGTATATGTTTTATACGATATAACATATACTGTATGCGCGCATGTGTGTGCGCGAGAGAGGGATAGTTAGACAGAGAAGGATGGGGTGAGGAAGAGGGAGAGAAAGAGAAAGGGGGAGACGGAAGAGGAGGAGGAGAGAGAAAGGGAGAGAGGAAAGGGGATGCGACAAATGGCGGGCAGCTCTTCCTTCCGTCTGGCCGCACTTCCCTCTTTGTTGAAAAACAAAATTAATATAAGGGAATTTTATATATATATAAAAATGAAAGGTCAGTAGATGGGAATTAATTGCACAGAACTATAATAATCTAAAAGAACATAAGTGAACAAAAATAATAAAAAACGAAAAGCCCACCAAGCATTCTCGCTCCAACCAGTCGCCTGGCTCAGAGTTGAGGAAGGAATGTTCCACCACACCCTGAAGCTTCCTTCCTCTTGCCCACGCACGCCATGGCCACGCCCACATCACTCCCACCTCCACCCACGTCCTCCCGCCCGCCGCCCTTCCGACCCTCGTTCCTCGCATCCTTCCGTCGAACCGTCTCTCGTTATCTTCCTTCCGTTGCGCCGCCCTTCCTTCAGAGGCGATTTCTCTCGCCTCCTCTCCCTCCTCTCCCTCTCTCCCCGTCTCTTGAACACGGGTGCTAGTAATTGCTGAATGAAAACTCGGAGTAAGAAAGAGGACGAAGAGACTAGAAGAGACCCAAGCAGAAAGGCACAGACAGGAACAGGGAAACAAAGGGACAGACCGACTGACAGGCATGGATGGTATTCTGTTGTTTTTCATCCCTTTCTTCCGCTTCCTGACCCTCCGTGAGACCCTCCACCGAGTGGTGATCCCCCCCCCTCCTCGCTCGCCTGACGCCCATGGGCGGCGAGGAAACAGACACGCGGGGAATTCCTCCTCCTGCTGCGGCATCTACAAACCATCTTACAAAAAACCGCCATAAGAGACGAAGTAAACTAATTATATTCCGAGAAGTCAAAGACAATCTATAAACTTTTCGAATAATAAAAGATTTCCGTGTAGCCTCGCACGCACACCGCTGTCGCCCTTTGTTTTTCGAGTTCAAAAATAGAAACAACTAAACAGCTCTTGCTCTTGTAATATCCTTCTCCTTTATGGGCCTGACATATCACCAGCGTTCTAAATGTTTATCTTCTGCCTCTTAACTTTTATCGCCGCCGTGACAAACGTTGGCGTTATTGCCCTCAGACGTTTATCCTAAGGACCCTCAACGTTCAGCCTCCCTATCCTAAACATTTATCAGAAGCCCTCGTATCGTTTATCAGCGGCTCCCCTTTTCAGCGTTTATCACCCTTCCCTCTTCTCCCTCGTCCCTTAACCCAGCCTCCCTCGCTCGCGTCCTGCCCATCAGCGGTAGCATCCTGCCCTCAA